TGTCTACAGTCAATGTCTACGGTCAATGTCTACAGTCTACACGCATGTCCAATTTCTACAATCTACACGTGGCTACAGTCAATATCTACAATCTACATGCATGTCCACAATCTACACATGTCTACAGTCAATATCTACAGTCCACAAGCACGTCACCAGTCCACACACATGTCTACAGTCAATGTCTGCAGTCTACAAGCACGTCTACAGTCCACACACGTCTACAGTCAATGTCTACAGTTTACATGCACATCTTCAGTCAATATCTAGAGTCCACGCGCATGTCTACAGTCAATGTCTACGGTCAATATCACATCACATCACAGTGTTCATCTCCCTGCAGCTTGGACACCTGTCCTCTGACCTGAGCGGCCGGGCTCCTCCCAGCCTTCATCAGAGCCCTCCTGGAACTGAAGCAGACTTCTGCCCCCGAGGAGACCAGGGGGACCTCGACTTCCTTGGCCACCCCCGGAGGATCGGGATCAGGCCAGGTCAACAGCACCCAAGCTGCTCTTCCGGGCGGCACAACTCAAGGAAAGGCTGAGGTCGCTGCCTCGTTTCTAGTCTACTGGTTCGGCACTGTCACTGAACGCCTTGCCACCGTGCAGGTCTGGTGGTCGTGCACGGTGACCAGCTCCGCGCGCCGCGCAGGCAGCCCCAGACCTCCACGGAGGACAGCCCCCCCCCCCCGGCCGACTTCCCCCCAGCTGTCGCTGTCACCGCCGTCCATGTGAAATGTTCCGTCTCCTCCAGGTCGGCGCAGGGGCGTGCTCCTGTCGTGACTGGTTCTGGGGATTAGTCGTAGGAAGAACATGCACGCTCCCTAAAGAAGGATCTCCACCCTCTACGCGCCCGTGAGCTCCTCCGTCACCTCTGGCACCGCGGGAGAGATCTTGTTGTTGCCCGTGGATAGAGGCCTGACCGCCTCTGTCTGCTGCACCCCTCTCCCGAAACATCTCTTTTTTTATCTCTGATGCAAAGCTTCGGCAGGTAAAGAGGTGTTATGTCTTTATAGACTAAATCATCTAACCTCCCCCAGTCACGATCTCAGTCCCCCCTCTTGAGGGCAGTCCGGCTCTTTCGTATTTGAGCTGATTATTGCACCTGCCACCTGTTTAGTCCGTCTGTATTTAAGCCTGGCTCTCTTGCTATTCCTGACTCAGCATTGCACCCCGAGCACCAGATCACCCCCGTCACGCCCCCCCC